GGCTTTGGGTGTGGTACAAGGATCGGAGGTAATTAACAGTCTGGGTGAATCATCTCAACACAGCCTTGAACTAGACTGTCCTAGAAAATCAGCTGCAGGTAATACCTGAGCCTCAGGTCCAGTTTTAGATCCCTTAGAGGAGAAGGGCTGTGGTGAGGGCGTGGCACGTTTCCTATGCCTACCTCACTCGGGGAAGCGAGACATGGTGGCAGCGGTGGGATATGTTTTTTTAGTGTAAAGACCCCCCAAAGAGAAGGCGCGTGTCAGCGGGCTGATCAAGCGCTGAAGAGAGAACACCGGCCCATAGAGTTGTGGGAGTGTGGGCGGCTGGACCAGGCCACCAGCCAAATACCCCTTAGTAATCCACTAGGCAGTGGGTGGGGTAGGAGGGCTTACGAAGGGTTATTGACCATAATCCAAGTAGTAAGTTAAGCAGCTAGTCTGTTCCCATCTGAAGTACAAGGAATAGAGTCGGGAGACTCTGTGGAACAGACAACTCGAGATGACAAAAACAGAAAAATGGGTGAAGAAGCAGAAAATGTGGATCTAGATAACCAGCCCAAGCTAAACGATCCGACAGAAGTAACACCCGAGTCAGGAAGAGAAATACTAGGAGTAAGGGTAGGAATCCTCCCATATGGAAAAGGTTATGAAACCTGGCACCAGCTAAAGCAGCTCCAATTCAAAGACAGTAATCTGGAAAAAAATAAAGAAGTCCTACAACAAAACCTGATTAAATGCATCGAAGAAAAGGGTGTGTACCATTGCGACAAGGCAACAAATGGGCTTCAAATGATAGTAATGCGAGACCCAGCTAGAATGAAAACCAAAGCAGAGATCAAAAAGTGCCTGCAATGGTGGATACAGTTGGTCGAAACACCGATGGGTGCGCTAATTACGGTAATTATCAGTCCTACCTTTGATTATGACCCTCTAATAAAAATGGTGGCCAGAGCATCAGGACTGGGGTGGCACCTAGTTAAACACGACATGAAAGCAGCCCCCAAGTACCAAGAGTACACGGAGGAGTTAATGAGACTAGCCATGTATGAACAGAAAAAAACCCAGGAGACAGGAGTCGGACAAGAATGGGCATCACAAATGGGTTCTCCAGGAGTCTCAGACGAGGGTGAACCCGAATCAGAAGAGGAAAAAGAGAAAGCACCTAAAAGTGAAATACTCGTAACAATCCAGACAGAAAAAGAAAGTCCGAATGTTGGCAGACCTGGATCAGGAGCATTTGTCCCAGCCTCCCATGTAAACCCCTCTTTTGTGAATCTCCCATTTGGAAGCTTTCTCCTAAGCGATAGCCAATACAGGGAGACTAAAACTCAAGACCCAGACTTAGACTCAGATGGTGAGCACCTAAGATCAGGAGCCAAAGTCGAAAAATATACCGATGACTGGTCCTTTGATGATGAAGCAGGAAAAGAAAAGGATGACCAACAGCTGAATGCCTTTGCCCAAACTCTAGCAGAAAAACTGAGTCAGTATTGGATGAGCGGAAGAGGGTTGAATGTGGAGCCCTTAGGAAAAACAAAGACGCAGACCCAGTTAGAGCTAAGTAATGATCAAAGAGACAAGAAGGAGAACCCAAGGGAGGGTTCCTCAGGAATGTCTAACGAGACCCCCAGGAAAAAACAATCCAAAGAGAAACATCGGGAACCAAAACTTGAACCAAAATCTGAACAAAAAGATGAAAAGGAGCCCAGAGCGAGGCTGAAAGATAAAATTAAACCAATACCAATAAACATGCCCCAATTCCCTCTGGCTGAAACCCTTAAACCCTTACTCGAGGAAACACAAATTGTACCATTCCAGAATGGGGTCCGAGTGGGTAGGCTGAAAGGAAGCCCTTGGATGGTGGATGTCGACGGGTTGTTGGTATTCACCGATCACAAGTATAAAATCCATAACTCAGCGTTCAGAAAAACCCTACAGAAACTAGCGGGGAGCAGGTACCAACAAGAAATAACTCATTTAAGACAGTGGATGGAAGGCTTGAAGCCAAAAGTGAGCCTACCTAGCGGTGCTGACCTTCCACATTTTGCCATAATACATGTCCCGATTATAAGCTATGAGGAAGCAACCAGCGATAAAGGATATATGAGGGAGATGTTGGGAGCTATCGAAAGAGGAGTATCCAGAGCCATAAGTCAGGGTTTTAGGTGACTGGTGATGAGTGTCGATGGGTTGCAGTCCCATCGCCTGCAGTGGGAGATAGCTGAGCGCATGGCAATTCGCTCAGCTATGTGGTTAGCAAAAGAGATGCTTGCAGCAGCAACATTGAAGGAATTGATTATTGTGACTCCCACTCGTCTAGATGAGGATCGGAAATCAAGGGTCGTAGCCTCAATGACAAACCAGAGGAAAAAACAATTGAAGAACCCCTAAAGTTGGGGAAAGAGGACACAGAGAAACCATCAACATCACAGTGGGTCAAGAAAAGTGAGGACCCTTTAAGGATTAATCATCAGGGATCGAAAATGCCTCTGACCTCACCCTCAGGAAAAGACTTGAAAGTTCAGCCACAAGACGACGCAGCAGTGGCGCGGATTCACAAGAGGGACAGTCAAAATGTAAGACACTAGCAAAAATACAACCATTAAATGGAGAGAGCGAGGAAAGCGACGAAGAGAGCTCACAGGGAGAACCAGATGCTGATCTGAGTAAGGAGGACACAGATGATGAATGTAGTGCCAGCTTAGGATCAATAGCAGGCCAATATGATGGTCCAATCAAGCCATTGAGAATAGGGCAAAGGAAAGGACAGAAGAAGGGGGTAGAGATACTGGATGTACACAGGGTGTCGGAAAGGTTGGCCAGAAACTTGAGTTGGGGTCCGGTGCAGGCGAGTGATGGGCGCCGAACCTACATCCCTGAAGCTGGCCAAAATCTTTATGACATTCCACCAGTATGGGCAGACAGGTCAGAGGAGATAGTGGAACTGACTATAAAAGCTACTTTGGGAGAGTGGGCCAACATTTTAATGATGCCTTCGTACCCCACCTTAGCAGCCCACAAACCCTTAATCAGTAAGTTTAGAACAGCTTACTTGGGAATAGTACACGATGTGATACTAAGAAGAATGAAAAAAAACTGCCTACAAATATGCCCAAGAAACAGAAAAGAAATTGCGAGATGAAATATCGGCCGATGAAGAAGATGACACATCCACGGCCGAGGCAAATCCATTGTACCATGTGTCTCAATCAACCCCTGAACTGAAGCGGGCGGAACAAAGCCGAGCCTCCGGCTCAGACACTGACAGTTATCGTGAGTACAAAAAGCTGAAAACCTTAGTGAGAGAAAAAAGACCCCAAGAGACCACTGAGGAATACATCAAAGATGTGTGGCCCATGGTCGTTAGCTCCACTGAGTGTGAAGCAGCAAAAAAGCTGAGGCTGGGTAATGTCACTACAAACCCAGTGAGTAAAGGGGAGTCGGCTCAAAGCCAATATGAGAAATTAGTCCTGGAGGATATGGACGACGAGGACTCTCAGATTCAATGGGCAAGAGTACGCATGGATCAAGGGCAACGCCTCACACCAGTCTGGTATCAACTTAAACAAGTAATTCCCCCTAACAGATATGTTAAAGCCCAGAGAAGCGTAACAAAAGGGAGAAGGGGGGAAATCACATTTGCTAAAATGCCCCAACATGAGACTACTGTCGCCCAAATAGACCAGGCAGTGAAGTCTTACGACCTAGAACAGCAGTTATGGGATGAGCGAAAGAAAAGCGAGGCAAAACAGAGCACAAAACAACCGAAGGCAGCTGAAAGTGCCCCCCAGCAACCACAATATAGGGAGCAGCCCCCGAGGCCGCAAGAGTCACCGTACAGAAACCAGCAACCAAGAAAGTTTCAAGCTCCGGCTACAAACCAAATACCCCAGAAGTGGGGCAAATATATACCGCCAGAGGAATATGCAAAGCTCACACCAGAAGAAAAGAAGGCCCTCCAAGAGTCCCGCGCAAAAGGGAATTGAGGGCCAGCTAAATGATGGCCGAAAGGTCGCGGGTCACCCTAGAAAATGCCTATTGGGATGGGGATAAAATCTATACTAAACTAGGTGGAGAACCTTACCTGATAGACTCTGGGGCAGAGGTGTCAATGACCCGCAAAAACCTAAAAACAATAGGATACCTCACGGTCCAATTGGCTAACGGTACCGTTGAAAAAATGCCTTTTGGCTTATGGAAAGGAATTATATGGGTAAAGGGACCTTATAACCTCATGACAGTAACAGATTTGAAAGAACTAGGAAAGCCAAAAAGAGACCGAAGGGCCCTGAATAGACTGCTGGATACCCTCAAATCCAGATTAGTAAAAATAGGGCCAACACATGAAAAAAAGGAAATCAGAGAGTGGTATTAACCTGTAAATATCCCCGAAGTAACAGAGCAAAAATTAAATGAGAGCGACTTCTCCCCGGCCGGGAAAGAGAAGTTAAAACAAATTATCGAGTCGGCCTCAGCGGCCAAGTTTAAAAATGACTGCGGGGATTTGGGTCCGAGATTTGTACACATAATCGAAGGAGGAGTACATCCACCTGTGCGATAGTATCCCCTCAACCCAGGGGCAGTTGAAGAAATGAACAAAATCGTAAGAGAATTAAGTGCTTTAGGGATCATTAGAGAAGAAGCAAATCCTATTACTAACAGCCCCATTCAGGCAGTAAAGAAACCTGAGTCTGCCGGAGGAGGGTTGCGATCGGTAATCAATTTCAAAGCACTTAACAGACAAACAGTGGCCAACCGAGCTAGCTTAATCAACCCACAAGGTACTTTGAAAACCCTGCAAGTGAAAAAGTACAAATACTACATCGACTTAGCAAACGGATTCTTCTCACTCAGACTAGCCAAACAATCACAAGGGAAAACAGCTTTTACACCAGTGTTGTTTTCGTTAACGACGACGATGACGAAAAGTTTTCGTCGACGCCCCCTTTTTTCATGACAATAATGAGACGGTAACGAAATAAACATTGCTCTTTAATGACTAAAACATGACGAAATGTGTGTGAGTTTTCGTTGACGAGATGAGACTGTACGAAAATGTTTGTCGGTGGTCCGTCAATAATTTAGAATGCACAATATTTCTGCCCATTGGTCACACCCACTGCTACCCAACCGCGCTGATGCACCGCGCGCTCACCTTTGACTTCATTTCAAACTGGACCATGGCAGATGCTGCACGTTTTACGAAGGGGCTCGGTGGACGCAAACCCAGAAAGGATTTATGGACTTATTTTGTATTTAACCCAACTGAAAGAAGAACCGAATGTATCGTCGAGGGAGACGGAGGTAAATGTGGATTTAAACTTGGTGGAAAAAACACGACAAATCTTAAGCGGCACCTGAAGGCTCACCACCCTGATATTTTTTCCAAGGTAAGTTAGTTACAACTACTATTTTTGTAATGTACATACATGCAATGTTACTTGACAAACCAAACGGGTTGTGACACATTTCACAACTCCAGTTTTGTGTAAACTTAATGTTTTTTTAATTTTATTTTTATAAATCCTGTCCTTGCTTGCGCACGTGGATGCTAACTTCGTGCTATTAGCTTGTTTGTTGTGCTAATCTAACGTCGGCTACTGTTACGTGTAAAACATGCAGGGATGTATGGCTGATAGGTTGTGTTTGAGTGACTGAATATCAAACCTGTTGCTGTTACCCCATGTGTCTGTCGGGTCTGCATCCTTTAAACCAAAAACCCATTTTAGCTAAACACTACTTGCATTACATTTTAAAATGAGACAACCAACATTTGTCTGATAAATGTTTACAGTAAAAAGTGTTAGGGGGCCAAAAAATACTTCATTTTAAATAAATAAATTGAATCAAAACATTTGCAAAAGAGAAAAGATACATTTTCTTAGATTGAGTGTTTATTGGTAGAAGAAAAATGGACAAAGTAATGTAAAAAATACCCCCCCAAAAAAGCTGTTTTCAATCTAATGAAAAGAAAAATAGTATTAAAAATACTGGTTATGTTAGTGTCATTCTGGATTGAAAATCTAATGCCAATTAGCAAAAAATAGGTAAAGCTGACATTTATCTGTATTCAAATTTCAAAAGCATCTGCCTGTGTTAAATGTTTGGTACTTCAGACTAAAAGCTACAAGGGCACCTCAGTGTTGTTTTTCTGCTCTGAACCCTGAGCAGAAAAACATTAACACTGCACTAAAGTATTTTTTCATTTATCACAAGTCATATCATCATCGCAATATGATGCACTGTTCTTGCACATCACAGGATTTCCTAATATCAGACAGCCCTAGTGCACTTTTAATAATCTAACTCAACTGTACAGATACATTAGAAATTTGGCCATTGCACAATATAGAAAGATCAGATGACTTACGTAAGGAGGACAGGGTGGATGCTATTCATCTGGTTATTAACGTATCAGAAAGATTTTTTTGTTTGCTTGTTTGACAGCTAAAGTCATTCTGTTTTCTTAACATGGTATTTAGTAAGATATGTTGACACAAATCATTATGCACAATATATGTACATATAGACATATAAATAATTTTTTTAAGATATACATACATTTGATTATTTTATATTCACTTATAGATTCTTTACAAGAGGTGTACATTGTATATACAGAAAGAATAATTATCTTCTCGCCTTGCTTTTTTCTCATCCAGATCCCAGAGATCCTAACTCCTAAAGAGAAACCTGGTGGTCCAAAGAACGACAGGTCACAGTCATCTATACCAGCAGCCTTTGCCGCAGGATCTAAATATAAAACAGATTCTCAGGAACAACATGCCAAAGAACAGGCGATTGCTCTTTGGATTGGACGAACAGGTCTACCTGCTTGCACAGTTGAGGATGAAGATTTCATCCTTATGATGGAGACCTTTGATAAGAGGCTCACCATACCGAAAAGAACAAAAATAAACAACTTGGTTGACAAGATTTATGATGGTGAAAAGCAAAAGTTCAAAGAGAGGCTTGCAACAGCACACAAAATAACAATTGGACTGGACATATGGACCAAAAAAGGCCTTACAGCATCATTTCTAGCAATTAGTGCATGCTTTTTTTGCACTGTTGAAAACAAAGCACAGCACATACTGTTGAGACTTGACCAGCTCCCTCACCCACACACTGCTGAGTGTATAAAAACCCATGTTGATCAATGTACAGAGGACTGGGGAATACCCCAACACAAAATTCTGACAGTCATAACTGATAATGGAAGCAACATGATTGCTGCGTTCAAAGCTAATGAGCCGGATGAACTCAGTAGCTCTGAGGATGAATCCATCGATGTGAGCGACACAGAAGACCCTGAAGTGATTGGACAAGACCAAAGGTAAATTGTTTTAATTTACTGTTAAGATTTTTAGTGTGTCATACGCTAGGTTATAATCAATTTTAGCAACTGTTTGACAATTTTATTGAATTTCCTATATGATATTAAGAAAGTTTCTTTTTCTCTGTGTTTTGTCCTCTCTATCTAGGTTTGGAGCCATAGATAGGACCCCATGTGTTGTACACACACTGCAACTCGTTGTGAACATGATCCAGAAGGATGCAAGTATAAACCGACTGCTGGGCAAAGTTAGACTGCTTGTCAAGCTCTTTCGCAAGTCATCAGTGGCAACACAGCGTTTGCTCCAGGTATGTCAACTAACTGTGGTCAATGACTGCCCTACTAGATGGTCCAGCACATACCTGATGATATCACGACTTCTCCAAATCAAGGACTCAGTAGTTCAGGTTGCAGATGAGATGAGCTGGGACTATCTACTGCCAAGTGAGTGGCAGAAGTTGACTGCTCTTAGAGATTTACTTCTCCCCTTCGCTGAGCATACTCAGATGCTCCAGAGTGACACACAGTCTTTATCCCTTGTGTTGCCTGCCCTTCTGGACTTACACGGTCATCTATCTGAGTTCCCCAACGCTCAAGGTTCTACTTTCAAGGACCTAGCTTCCCTGGCAAATAAGATGAAGGCAAACATGGACAAACAGTTCAGCTGCTTTCTTGATCACACTGATTCTAAGTTTTCACCCCTCATTGCTGCTGCTTGCTACCTCGACCCGACAGTTGCACCTGAAGCACTCCTTGAAAATGATGATGAGCAAAGTGAGGCACTTCTGGGAAAAGCAGAAGAGTACATAGCTCAACTGGTGCCACCTGTTTTACAAGAAGATGAGGCTGAAGATGAGAAGTCAGGGAAGGAGGGAGAGGAAGAAACCAAAGAGGGAGTGGGACCACTGAGAAAGCGGCCCAGATTCAAGTTTTTGTCGAGTCGGCCATCCAGATCTGGCTTCTCAAAGCCGTGTGTCATGCAGGAAATGAAGAAATTCAAGGAGCAGCTGTCACAGCCTATAAACCAAGAGACTGCCCTTGAATTTTGGGCTGCACAGGGGGATTCTGTGTATCCGAGCCTAAAACCTATTGCCTTAGATCTTCTGGCCATGCCAGCATCTCAAGCATTTGCTGAGAGGGTCTTTAGCATTACAGGTGACCTCAGTCGTGGCCGTCGAAATAGAGCAAGAGTCATTTTAGAGCGAAGTGCTTTCCTTAAACTGAATCGAGGTTGTTAAACTTAATTTGCATACCCACCTCGTTACCAAGCTTATTAGTGCAGGTGAAGACATGTTAAAATAGTGTTCTGTTTGGACTTTTTGCAACACTGCACAAAGGGTAGAGCCCCTATCTATTCTAAACAATGTTGTGGTAAACATTTTTGTTGTTTATTTATTTCATACTTACTTTAAAGACCAGATACAGTGTGTATACAGTACTTAGTGTTCTGGGGTTGACTTATTCATTTTAGATTTCAAAACTTCCAGTGGCATATTTCATACTTTAAGAGAATAAGAAGAGATATATTTTATTATTTTGGTTTATAATGTTTGCACAAGTTAAAGATAGTCAAGGTTTAGGACAGTCTGTTTTTATGTCTTCATTGTCCTGGTTGAAAAGTTTGAGTTTAACATGTGTTCCCTTTTATTATAATATTGGGCATTTGTACTTCATTGCACTTTAGCACATTTTGAGAAATAAAGCCACAAAGTGAGAATGTTTTTGTTTTGGGCATTTTTGGAGTACCAGTATTTGATTCCACTATTAAAACAAATTACTCAAATTAATTTGTAAAGACTAATATGTTTTCTATTTATTTTAAAGACTAAAACTAGACTTAAAATTTTAAAGTTTTTGTCGACTAAAGCTGGACTAAAACCATTAAATATAGAAATGACTAAAACTGACTAAAACTAAGAAGTATTTTTGTCTAAAAGACTAAGACTAAAACTAAAATCAAAATGGCAGTCAAAAACAACACTGTTTTACACATCAAGGAAGAAGCTACGTTTGGCAGCGACTACCACAGGGATACAAAAACTCTCCAAATGTGTTTCAATCAGCCGTAATGGATGTGCTTAAAGACTTAGGTGCCACAGTTTACATCGATGATGTGTTTATCGCAGATGACACAGAAGAAGAACATCTAGAAAGATTAGCAAAGGTGGTGCAGCGAGTCACAGAAGCAGGGCTGAAATTGAATCTGAAGAAATGTCAGTTTGGACAGTTTCGAGTAAACTATCTAGGGTTTCAAGTAACAGTCGATCTGGGACTCTCAGAAGGCTACAGAGAGAAACTCGAACAGATTCAGTCCCCCGAGTCCAAAAACGAACTGCAAAAACTGACTGGAGTCCTGTTTGTCCTGTTAACTATGTGTCTAGATCAGACCACACTTCAGCAAGTGTTGGACTGTACAGATCAGGCACGCTTAGCACAGCATGTCAAGTCCAAGACTCGACAACAAAATAAGTTTAACTTACTAATAACTCATCAACACCATCATTATTCCAATAACAACACATTCAGTGTAGGACAACAGTCCAGTAGTCAATTACATGCCAGGGAGACAGAAAAGTTGGTGAAGAATTTATCTGACAGACAGCTCACCCAGCCAGAGACAGAGATTCTTGCCAGGGGACTGAACTTTGCGGTTGCACCAAGTAGAATTCCTCTGGTGGAGATGATCACAGCCACAGAATCAGCCATCCGCAACAACAAAATGAAAGAGGGTGAAGCAAAACAGCTCAGAATCAAAGTTTCATCCTGCTTCAGCAATGCCAAACCACCACCATCCAACATCAGTAGAGAGGAGAGAGATGCACTCACCACTCTTAGCAAGGACAAAAACATCATCATTCTCCCAGCAGACAAAGGAAGGTGCACAGTGATTTTGAACCAGAAAGACTATCATGAGAAAGTTATGACACTCCTTAGTGACTTAACCACTTATGAACCTCTGAAAAGAGATCCAGGAAGTGGTTACAAGAAGAAATTGATAGATTGCCTGAAAACTTTGGAGCAGGACAAGGCTATTGACCATATTCTGTACCACAGACTGTACCCAGGGGAGGCCACACCTAGTCTGTATGGTTTACCTAAAATCCACAAACAAGGTGTACCTTTAAGACCTATTGTTAGCATGATTAACTCTGTCACTTACAATGTTTCCAAATATCTGGCGTCTGTACTCATCCCTTTAGTTGGCAGCTCAGAACACCACATACAGAACACCATGGACTTTGTGGATAAGGTGAGGGATGTCATCATGGAGACTGATGAAACAATGGTCTCTTTTGATGTCACATCACTCTTTACGTGCATTCCTGTTGATGATGTAGTAGAGGTGGTCGGTTTAAGATTAAAATCAGACACCACTCTGAGGAGCAGGACCACGCTTTCCACAGAACAACTGTGTCAACTCTTGAAACTGTGCCTGCAGTCAACCTACTTCACATATGGGGAGCAATATTATAGGCAGAAACATGGGTGTGCTATGGGGTCTCCAGTTTCTCCTATTGTTGCCAACCTGTACATGGAGGAGGTAGAAAAGAGAGCCTTGACGTCCTTTACAGGGACACCACCAAGTCATTGGTTCGGATATGTTGACGACACCTGGATTAAAATTAAATCTCAGGAAGTCCAACATTTTACTGACCACATCAACTCTGTGGATAAATACATCAAGTTCACACGAGAAAATTAAAAAAATGGCAGGTTGGCTTTCTTGGACTGTGAGGTCTCAGTCGCTGATAGAGGACATTTGCAAACTGAGGTGTACCGCAAACCCACCCACACAGACCAGTATTTGCAGTTTGACTCCCATCACTCTTTGGAGCACAAGTTAGGAGTCATCAGGACTCTGTATCACAGAGCAGACAGCATCCCCACTAACTCGGGAGCCAGGCAGAAGGAGAAATCCTACACAAAACAGGCTCTAGAGCAATGTGGATATCCTAACTGGGCCTTCCTGAAAGCAGAGAAGAAACCCAAACAGGACTCCAGTCAGCCATCAGGTGAAAAGGAGGAACCCAGACCAGTGGTCATTCCGTATGTTGAGGGAGTATCAGAGAAACTGAGACGTTTATTTTCTAAACATAACGTCCCAATGGCTTTTAAACCCCAAAATACATTACGGCAAAGACTGGTTCATCCCAAAGATCCAGTCCCCCGGCACAAACAGAGTAATGTTGTGTATGCTGTTCAGGGTCAGGAGGGCTGTGACCAGTCTTACATCGGGGAAACTAAACAGCCACTGGCCAAAAGTATGGCCCAGCACAGAAGATCAACATCATCAGACCAGGATTCTGTGGTCTACACTCATTTCCAGGCCAGTGGTCACTCTTTTAAGGATGAAGATGTTCACATCCTGGACAGAGAGGAACGATGGTTTGAGAGAGGAGTAAAGGAGGCCATCTTTGTGAAAAGAAATCGTCCATCATTAAACAGAGGTGGAGGCCTCCGGGTTTAACTGTTCCCCTCTTACAATGCTGTGATTGCTAGTATCACTCAGCCCTCTGTGAATAGTAAACAGCCATCAGTGTGCTAATGACCCATTGTTAGGCTGATGGTTCTTCTTGAGCATGTGGTCAGCTGATTTTGGTTGTCAGCAACAAACTGGTTGATCCACTCGGAGAAGGTGCTATTTAAGAGACTGAGCTGAAAACAGCACCTCAGACTGAGGAAGTCTCTTGGATGAGAGACGAAACGTTTCTATATTTTTTTGCCTTTTTTTTTTTTTTTTTTTGAATGTCCAGAGGACCAGATTGAACTTTTTTGGATTTTTCTACCTGGATTATTGAGCATGCATCAGGATATCAGAAATATGCCAAACTCTTGTATGCTTGCCTGAAGAAAAGAGAAGGAGAAAACGAACAGAAAAGCAAAAAAGCTTGGTTTTGGACCGCCGAAAACCAAAATGACTTGGAAGAACAAAGAACAAAAATACAGGAAGCGGTACGCTTAGAACCAAGAAGCCTTATGACAAAATTCGTAGCTGAAGTTAGCTGTGAGGGAGACGATGCCATTATAACAGTTAAAAACGAAAATGGAGGTTTAGTCACTCTTTGGAGTTAAACTTTAACCTCAGTTGAGAAAAAATTTCCTCAGGAAGAAAAAGAATTAGCTGTTCTTGCTAGATACTGGGGAACGCTGAAAGATCTGGCTCAAGGACAGCCTATTAAAGTCATAACACAGAGCCAAGTGCACAAATATCTCAGAAAGGGAACAATTGAAAGTACCAAAGCTACCAACACAAGATGGGGTAGATGGGAAGACATTTTGTTAGACCCGGATCTAGAGATAGGAGCAA